CCCCAACCCAAATGCGAAACCTCGGGTACAACTGCGGCCACCTGGTCCTCGCCGCAACCGCGCCTCTCTCGTGTCTCGCCGCTCCGTGCAGAGAACACCCAGGATAAGAAATCTATGGTCTTACCAATCTCAACGTGAATCCCATGATACCCAGTTGGGCTCTCCTCTCCCGGCTGCAGAAGCAACGCCTGCCGTTCAATTCCAGTCAGCGGGTCAGATTCCGGGCACGGGTCTGCTTGGATTTGCGTCTTGCTGGGTGGTCTAGTGTTGCAGTCGATTTTCACTTCTTGGATCTCCTTGGATACGACCGGGATTGCAGGTTTTGAGGAGGGTTTGTGCTTCCTGGTGCATTTGGAGGCGAACCAGAGAGATATTAGGAAGAGAATGAGCACAAAAGCTGCGCCCACACAAACGCCAACGACTATCCATAAGCGCAATCCAAAAATGGATGTCGTCTTGGAAAGCTGGTCCGCCATTAGACCTGCTTTGTGATCAGACATGCGCGTCCAATGCCAGTGACGTTTTATGTATAATTCAGCAAAAGAGACAGAGACGAAGAACAAATTCCTTGGCGCGTGCACATTATTTTGGAGGTACAGCGTATAAATACAGAGAATCACAGAGTGATATATAGTCAGAGTATATAGATAGGAAGATTGTAAAAGGAGGGTGGAGAGAAAATGAGCTGGCGGTGGTGGGGGCTAATATGGCATCTCCGCCCAAGAAATCCCGCGGGCAGAAGTTGAGACTTGTGAGTTCAGTTTGGTTGAGCGACTGACATGTAATTTGAGCGAGACGTTATATCCAAACTTATAACCCGTAATATTAATAATTATTAATTGACATAACTTAAAATCCAGCCCCCCATACTAATCAAATCTTAATTGATCATTAAGATTTGATTAATTAAATTAGCTTATTTGCTTGTTTGATTTTGATCAAATTCTGTGAATTTTTTTTTTTTATATATATATATTTTACAGTTGAAACAATTATTATCGGGATTATAATTACGGTGCCCCGTTAACTTAACACAGTTACTCATTACAAATCATGCCGTCAGTGTCCTCCCTATCAACCCAATCACTTTCTGTAATATTATAATATTTAATCGCTGATTTTTTTTTTATATATAATATTATATAATGTAATTTATCACTTTGTTTTATTTATTATAATATATGTATATATATATATATACACACACACATATATACACACACTGGCTGAATTAGATGATGGGTATCAATTTTTGCATGGTGGATAATTCATTATCAACGTGGGTGGCTCATTCGATGGCTTGTTTACATCTCCATGTGAGAATTTAATGTTTGAAGTTGAAGAGTTGGTCTAAACAGCTGTATTCCTTTTTTTTTTTTTCCCTATAAAAAAAGGTCAATTTTTTTTGAAAAAAATTAGAAATCATCGTATAAATTTAAAACTAAAAAACACTTATAATATTATCAGTAAAAAATTATATTTTACAAATTTTATTTTAAAAATTTGTAGAATGCATTTTTAATTTTTATACGAGTTTATGAACTTATATTTTTAATTATATTATGATGAAATTTATTGTTAATGTAATTTTATTTATATATTTAAAAAATTATAAATTGATCCAAACCCAAATTTGGTTAAAATAAGTGTGAATTTGCGGATAAATTCAACATAAATTATAAATTTATTTGAAATCCATGTAAAAATTAGCTATAAAATATGTTTTATAAATAAACATAAGTCTGAGTCTTATTTGTTAATAATTTAATTATTGTAAATAGTAACGCATGTAGAATTTTAAATATATAATGATATTTAAAAATATATAATTATATAAATTTTACAAGACTTAACCAAACTTAATGTTTATAATTTTGTAAAACTATTTATGCATGTATTTTGCATGATTTATTGTCGTCTTCTTTTATCCTCGACAACTACCATTAAATTATTAAGTACGTTCCCCCTCTAACATGCAGACAAATTAAGAGGCTATACTTACATAATACATGGTTAATTTGTAATTAACAATGCTCATTGGTCGAGCTTTTATTTAAAGATCATCAACCGACAGAACTTTCAAAAGGCTCGAAAATTGAAAAAAGAGAAAAAGCCGAAGCTGGTGTCTCCATCAAGCCCCCACTTAATGTATTGTATGCATATAATACATAAATTATTATATGATGTGATATAATACACTTTAAAATAATAAATCACCAAAAAAGCGCTTATGGGCCGGCCGGTGATGAAAAAACTTAAATGGGTGAAAGTTTGAAAAATCCAATTTTATAATTTACGAGTCCAATAGTTTTGCAGGTTATCGAAGGAAGGTTATGTTCGTAACAATTTATGATTACGTGTATTTTATTTAAATTAAATTAAAATAAATATACATAAATCTATAAAATTAATAATAGAAAGCATTTTGATTTTCAACGACGGTGCCGTATTGAACAAACATTTATTACGGTAATTAAATACTCATTAAGAAAATAATAAAAGTACTAAACATATAATTAAGAAATGAAAAAAAAAAAAAAGCATCGCAATTTGTTATCAAGTACGGCCACGGTTCCTTTGGCGCCAAAATCATTGAATTTTCCCGCCACTTCCATTGGATAGGATCCCCAATTCGCCGCCGTATTCTTTCCATTTGCCATCCAAATTTTAAACAATAAAACCGGCGAAAAGAGAGAGAAATCCGTCCAAATCTAGGCAAACGAACATGGCGGACGAGCAACCTACAGTTGCCGGGAGGCGGCGAGGCCGTGACCCGGAGGTGTCGGCTCGGTCGGTGGCGCTGGAGAAGCTGAAAGCCCTCCGGCGAGGCGGACGCCGGTCGGAGTATGATATCAAGCTGGAGAATCCGATTTTTGACACTGTTCCGGAGGAGGAGTATGACGCGCTCGTAACCCGGCGTCGGGAAGAGGCTCGCGGCTTCATCGTCGACGACGACGGCCTCGGCTACGGCGACGAGGGTGAGGAGGAGGATTGGTCAAAGGGTGGTCTTCCTTCCTCTTCCGATGAATCTGACGGCGAAGGTGGTAGATGCAAGAAGAAGAAAATTGACAGGGAGAGAAAGGACAATAATTCCTTAAAGCAGCCGGCCAAAAGGACTAATCCTTCCCTATCGGCTGCGGCGGCGATGATGGGGAAACAGAGGATATCTTCGATGTTCACTTCTTCAGTTTTTAAGAAGAGCAAGGAGACTGATAAGGTGAAATGCGAGAGCATTATTGATGAGGTCATAGCGGAGTTTGCGCCTGATGAGGCTGACAGAGAGCGGCGTAGAAGGGGGAAGTCTGTTTCTCTTCCGATCCGTGCCGTTAAGAGCGAGAATCAGGTTGCTGCTAGTGCGGTTAATTTCGCGATGGATGGGGTTGAATCGGGTCGGCTTGTTGCAAGCGTAAAGCCTCCGATGTGCTTGGAGCAGGATTTTGGGATTGTTGAGGAGAAGCAATTGATTGAGGACGTGAAAGAGGAGGTAGAAGTGGAAACCAATGTGGGTCACGATTCCAAATATGAATCAGGTATATCTACCACTGAAAGAGATGTGACTACGGAGAGGGCGGATGTAGAGGGCGCAGTAGATATAAAGACAGAAGCAGTGGTGAAGAAGGCGGATGTATTTACTCTGAATGCTAAGATTAATACAGAGGAGAAGGATCCGACGTTGAGTGCGACTGCTGGGTGGAAGGCTGTTAGGACAAGAGGTAGCGAAAAATCCAATGTGGCCGAGGAGTTAAAAAACGGTCATTGTTGTCAAGTGCAGTCTGGTTTTGACCTGGAGAGCGATGGGTCCTTGAATTTCTATATACTTGACGCTCACGAAGAGTATTATGGTGCTAATATGGGCACACTCTATCTATTTGGGAAGGTAAGTTGAAAATTCTTCCGCATCTATGTTGTTTAATGGTTGGCCTGCCACATAAATTTCTCATCAATTTAACAATGTCCTGTTTCTCTATCCAGATTTCTTAGAAATGGCATTTGACCAACTGCATTAAACCCTGCCCGTAAAAAATATTGATTCATGCTTGTTGTGTGGCGAATCATTTTGCTTTTATAATCGTTATAGATTTATGTTCTTTGTAGTAGCTGCACTGCATTTTTAGCGCAGCATTATTGGGTTTGGCCTCTTGGCCTGTATACTTACGTGTTTACGTGCCCTTTCAAGTTGTTGCTACTTCGGAAGCAAACCATTGTTTTACATTTCCATACTTCCAGGCGCGATACCTTGAAGTCTTGGAGTTAACAAGCATTCCGAAATTTCACTTGCATCTCAGATAGTTTTTCCTTGTAACAATTAGAATAGAATAAAGTTAATAATTTATTTTGCCGGTGTGATATGCTTTGCTGTATTTGTTAAGTCAAGTATTCACTATTATACATTTAACCAATTTAATTAATGGATATCATCTTTATAAATTTGGATTTAGACTGCTAAAATTGTCATGCGCAAGCCAGGTCAAAGCAGGAAATGCATGCCATAGTTGCTGTGTGGTTGTGAAGAACATGCAGAGATGTCTATATGCAATTCCACATGGTTCACTGTTTCCAACCGATGAGATAATGAAACTTGAGAAAGATCTTGAAGAGTCTCGGATTCCTCCTGTAGATTTCCAAACAAAGCTTCATGTAAGCTTATTATGTGCTTAGCACTTCCTTTTGTCATTGTTATCTTGTTGAGGGCTGCTGATCCTTCCTTCTCACCAATATTCTCAGGATATGGCATCTCGATTGAAGAATGAAATTTCACAACAACTGTTAAACATCAATGTTTCTAGTTTTAGCATGGCACCTGTCAAGGTTTGTAGATCTTGTTCTAGAATCTCAGAAGAGGATATCCTCCACATGTTGATGCAATCTGCTTACTGAAATTTATGGCCATAACAGAGGAGTTATGCTTTTGAGCGCTCTGACATACCTGCTGGAGAGAACTATGTGCTGAAAATCAATTATCCGTTCAAGGTATATTTCCCAAACAACCTATCAATTACTTGTAGAACTTCATTTTTCCATTAATAGTATTAGCGTACAACTGTATTTGTATTTATTATGAATCTGGTACCATTATTTACCATTGGGATTCATCACACTTCATCCATTTTTCACATTATTGCAGGATCCAGCACTTCCGGCAGACCAAAGAGGAGAAAATTTCTGTGCTGTGCTTGGTACTCATACCAGGTTAAGTAGTTAAATCTGGTTTGTGGCGTCTTATATCTAATGTGTTTCTTTCACTTGAAGCAAATTCCTGAAGGCTCCTCTTGTACCAGTGTCTGCTAGAAATTCTGTCTATATGGAAGACTAGTTTGGGTGGCTAAGCTACTCCAGGGGAATTTGTAATGAACTTCTCATCATCCAACATGTTCATGCCAGTATATTGAACTGTAATTATTAGTTGGCTTAGTACTATTTTCCTGCTGTTTGGATGCTTCTGTAGACTTATTTAGGAGGAGTTTAGTTCTATCAACTCATGTAGCAGGAATATAAATATAGTTATAGAAACTGACCGGACTGCTTGTCAATAAATTGATCAGATTTTGGTGTAAAATGCTCTTGCAATATTATAATTATAATCTCTATATTATTTTATATAACATGTCATGATATGTAACTGAATTTACTTAGAGGTCAAATAGGAAGTTCAGTTAGTACTTGATTATTCTTGCTTTTGATAATCACACATTTCTTTTTGTAAAGAAGTTCTGACCAATGTGGTCATTTGCAGTGCATTAGAGCTTTTTCTCATTAAAAGGAAGATAAAGGGACCTTCTTGGCTGTCAATTTCAAAGTTCTCTAGCTGTCCATCATCTCAACAGGTGAAATTTTATGATCTAGGGGTCTTTTATCATTTAGGTATGTTCATGAGATATCTTTCTGCAAGTTTTAGTTTCCTTCCTGACATCTAGTTTTTACCCTTGTGCAGGTAAGTTGGTGCAAGTTTGAGGTTACCGTGGACTGTCCGAAGCACATACAGGTTGCATCTTCCTCCAAGGGAACAGTAGAGATTCCTCCAGTGGTTGTTACAGCTATAAATTTGAAAACTATAATCAACGAAAAGGAGAATATGAATGAAATTGTCACTGCATCTGTTATCTGCTGTCACAAGGCCAAGGTTTGCTCAACTACCTTGAAATAATCTTTCCATTTTAAGTTTTGACACGTGTTTATGCAGCATCAACTTGTTTCCTTTATAGCCAACAATTCTTCCATTTGCTGCTGCTGTTTGACCTTTCAGATTAATACACCAATGTTATCCTCCGAATGGAAGAAACCTGGTTTATTGAGTCACTTAACCATTGTCCGTAAACTTGATGGAGGCATATTTCCTATGGGCTTTAGCAAAGAAGTCACAGAAAGAAACTCAAAGGCTGGATCAACTGTTTTAGTCTCTGAAAGCAGGTAACACGTACTATATTTTTGTCAAGTTCTTTTCTTGTTTCTTTGAATTGATTTTTACTTTCTGTAATTTGGATTTCAAAATCATGTTGCAGTGAAAGGGCATTGTTAAGCAGGCTGATGTTAGAATTACACAAGTTGGATAGTGATGTTCTTGTTGGACATAATATATCTGGGTTCGACCTAGATGTTCTTCTCCACAGGGCCCGGGTAAGAAAATTATTGCATTTTCTTCTGGGAAAAAGAAATGTTCAGAAACGTTCTATTATTATCTTTAGCAACTGGTAAGGATGAAGTGATTTTGTTGTGCACAGCCCACCACTTTAATATTTAAAAATTATGTATGATATCCTTTGTTGCTTACATCTTGCAACACCTGAAGCCGTGTCTCAATGCAGTTGCAGTTGTGGTATTTCTATAACAGGCCAAGTAGTTTCATTTATTTTTGAAAGAAAAGAAGATACCAGGCAATGATATTTTGTTAGTACATTGGCCGGTGTTGGTTTAGAATGGGGATCTTTGGTGGATCATTGGTTTTCTTCTCCTAAATTTGCTATTGCCTCTACACAGTGACAATATGCTGGAAGGAAATTTAGGTTTCTAGTGACCCAGTTAACATGTTCTGTTTCTTACATTCTCTGGAATGCGGAGATCTGCTACTTTGCCTGTCAAATGCACATATGAAGGTCATAAATGATACTGCAGGTATGCAAAGTGCCAGGCGTCATGTGGTCCAAAATTGGCCGTCTAAAGCGTTCTTCTATGCCTAATATTACAAAAGGAAGCACCATTTTTGGCTCAGGAGCAGGTCCAAGGATCATGTCTTGCATTGCTGGTCGGCTCTTATGTGATACCTATTTGTCTTCCCGTGATTTATTAAGAGAGGTATGGCAGTTACCTGGTATATAGCTTGTGGGAAATTTTTACTTTCTTACATAAAAGAATTGTTTTCTTCCAGATCAGCTATTCTTTAACACAAATAGCAAAGACTCAGCTGAACAAGGACAGAAAGGAGATTGCGCCTAATGACATTCTCAAAATGTTCCAAACATCTGAATCTCTCATGGAACTTGTAGGTTTTCCTTCTTTGATAATGTGATTAGGACATTAATCTTCATTGTGACTTCTTTCTTTGGCTGAATGTTGATTGTAATTTACCCTACAATAGGAATTTGAGCCAATTATAGATGCAAAAATTGTGATAAATTTTAGTGACACACATGTTATGAAGCTGCATGTAGGAGGAGCCCATCTTTCAGTATGGTTAGCGAATTTTGTAATGATGGACAATTAATAGCAGTGAAACCTTTGCTAGAGATATTGGGTTTTGTTGGGACCAAGTTTTCATATCTCAAACAGGGTTTGAACAAAATGTTGGACAACAGGGTAGACCGTGCATGTGGTAATTTATGAAACATTCTGGTCCAAATTATATTAGTAGCTTAAATCATCTGGTCTAAATAGAAGACTTAACTTTGTGCTTTATCAACTGAGGCAATATCTCAGTTTAGGTAAGGCAAATATGTTTGATGGTTCAGCATTTCAAAGTTACCTACTATAACAGGACATGTTACAATTGTTTCATGGTTGTGCTGTTCTGTGGAAGATGTGTACTTGTCCATGGAATTTATGTTGATGATTGGAATAACATTAGTAGCTTAATTGAGAAGGTAAAAAATAAGCAACTTGGTATCTTTTCAATTGAGCAGTATCTCTGTTTAGGTAAGGGAAATGTAGATGATGACTCAGCAGCTTAACTTTGCCTACTATAACTGGACATATAAGACTTCTTCATGGTTTTGCTGTTCTATGATGGTTCTTACTGGATTTTTTTGCCTTCAGATTGAATATGGCGAGACCGATGCATGGTTATCCATGGAATTAATGTTCCATCTGAGTGTTCTTCCCCTCACACGCCAGCTGACAAATATCAGCGGTAATCTTTGGGGAAGAACTCTTCAAGTAAGCTTATCCATTAAACATGATTGTTTGTGGATCTCACTTGCACAATATAAGTTATCTAAGTACGGATTTTTTGGGTCTTCTCAGGGTGCCCGAGCACAGAGAGTAGAGTATCTTCTACTGCATGCATTTCATGCAAAGAAGTATATCGTTCCTGACAAGTTTTCATCTCATTCAAAAGAAGCAAAAATGACAAAGCGGAGAATGAATAATGGTTCTGAGGATAAAAATGTTGATGAGCTGGATATTGATGAGGCAAACATTGAGAGTGATTTTGCTAATTATGATCATGGGAAAGGCAAAAAAGGTCCAGCCTACTCTGGTGGATTGGTTTTGGAGCCAAAAAGAGGTTTATATGACAAATATGTACTGCTTCTGGACTTTAATAGTCTTTATCCTTCTATTATTCAGGTTAATATCACTAACTCTCCTCTCTATCTCTATCTCCGCCATTCTTCCCCTTCATGCCTAACAATCGTGTTCTTGTGGAATGAAGCTGTTCTATTGAGCCTTGATAGTTAATACTGAAAGCTGATGTTTCAGGAATACAATATCTGCTTCACAACCATCCAAAGATCTCAAGATGGGTTAGTACCTCGTTTACCATCAAGTAAAGCAACTGGGGTTCTGCCAGAGGTATTATTCCCTCGTGTCTTTTACTTGAAGTTGCAAGTTAAGAGCAATGAAACTTACAAACAAATGTCTATGTTAGGAGAAAGTTACAATTCCTTGTTCTGGAAATTCTAAATAAACTTTCTATTAAACTTTCTATTAAATTTGTAGTAATATGTTGAATCCGATGACTGATTAAGATGGTTCACTTAAACTTGCATTTTTTCTTGCATACAAAGTTATGAAGAGTATAGAGTGCCAGGATTTTGTTACTGTTTTATGCATTCGGTATTCTTTTCTGCAGCACTGGTGGTAAATAATTTGGACTTACAATATATTATTTTACAGTTATTGAAAACTCTGGTTGAGAGAAGGAAAATGGTTAAGTCGTGGATGGGTGGTGCAACTGGTCTCAAGCTTCGGCAGTTTGACATACAGCAGCAAGCACTGAAGCTCACGGCAAACAGGTTTGTGGTTGTCTTTTATTCTCTTAGTGTTTAACTTTATGTCCATATTACGATGGTTATTTGTTATGACTCTTACAGTTTCATATGGTTAAATATGCAGTATGTATGGATGCCTGGGGTTTTCCAATTCAAGGTTCTATGCAAAGCCTCTTGCTGAGCTTATAACACTACAAGTAAGAGAAATGTTTAATGCTGATATTTCCATGGAATGTTTAACTTATAATGAGGGTAGATTTGAAAATGTAATCTATGATTAATCATCAATTGATTCTGCAGGGAAGGGAGATCCTACAGAGTACTGTGGACCTTGTTCAGAATAATTTGAACTTAGAGGTATAATCTTATATGGTGAGACTTAAAAATGTTTTAGGTTAAAGTTATCCTGTGCGATCTTTTAATAATGATATTAATGTTATTTTACTTCGAAACATTGGTATAATTAAGCATGTTCCAGGATGAAGCCTTCTTTTCCTCTCTGGCAGGTAATCTATGGGGATACTGATTCGATCATGATTTACAGTGGACTAGATGATATTGTGAAAGCAACAGCCATTGCCAGGAAAGTTGCTCAGGAGGTGAGGATATGGTTATGTACTTCGCATTTGTTGGAGCTTATTAAGTACTCCAGTAACTTGGCTGTGATTAGAATGTCTAAACAGCAACTTCCATACAGGGAAAGGTTTTTATTAAAATTTAAACTTTGGAAGCTGCTTTAAAGGAGCAACACTTGTATTTTTCTAATGCAGCTAACTATTAGTGTTTTATGGTTGAAGGTTTGACTTGTCCTGAATAAAGGCTATCTTTGACAAATAGTCACTTTCTGGGATGGAATCTGTTTTTCCCCCCCTATCCTTAGCATGATTGACCTGAAGTGTTACTCTTAATTTCTAGGTTAACAAGAAGTACAGGTGTTTAGAGATTGATCTTGATGGCATTTACAAGAGAATGCTTCTTCTTAAGAAGAAAAAATATGCAGCTGTCAAGATTCAGTTCAAGGATGGCATAGCATATGAGGTATTTTGTGACGGTTTTTTCTCTGTTGGTTATCCCACTGGAAAATTTTCAGGATGGTTACTTTGTTGCTACAGGTTATTGAACGCAAAGGCCTGGATATGGTGCGTCGTGACTGGAGCTTACTATCAAAGGAATTGGGAGATTTCTGCCTAGGCCAAATATTGTCAGGAGGGTATGTTGATTTGGGTTCTTGTCTCTCTTTCTGATTTGATCTGTGTATTCTTATATGGTAAGGATACCTTAATTTTTTTCCCATGTTAAGCTTGTAATCCAAGAAACGTTATAGGCAGCTTAGGTATCTTGTTGTATCTCTGACTCTTATCCTTTGTCTGGTAGGTCATGCGAAGAAGTTGTTGAATCAATACATAACTCTCTTGTGAAGGTGAAGTCATAATACTGTTTGCTGTCATCATTTCTTCTCATTTTTGTTTCCTTTTATTGGAAATGGTAAGGAATAGTATAAATGGCTTTGAGATCCTCTGGTAACTTTTATTGTAATGTTCTGGGTTTGGTTTTGATTGTGGTTATCCCTGACCCGCCAGCCAGGGACATAACAAGTTCTACAGAAGTTTGGGCTTATGGTGTAATAAAATATTTTGTGAACTCTGTTTTAGGAAAAATTCTATTTGCAGTCAGATTGAATGATTCAATAATGGTCACTATTTGCAATCAACAGGTGCAGGAGGAAATGAGGAATGGACAAATTGCACTTGAGAAATACATTATCACAAAGACATTGACTAAACCACCGGAAGCTTATCCAGATGCCAGAAACCAACCACATGTTCAGGTGAGTTTGAAAAATAATCATTTAATCTCTATTTAAGAATTGTTTTCAGGCATTTTTTGATGTTTACAACTTCATATAATGTATTGAAATGGATTTGCCTATGCTATTTACTAGGTGGCACTTAGATTGAAGCAACTCGGGTACTGTACTGGTTGTTCCAAAGGCGATACTGTACCTTATGTAGTCTGCTATGAACAGGTTTTGTATGAAGTAATTATTTCTTATCAAATCAGTGGATCAGATACTTAAAGATTGTTCACAAATTACAACCGCCTGCACCTTCTTTTCCTTCTGACAGGGTACTAGTTCAGGCAGTTCCACAGGGATTGCTCAGCGTGCTAGGCATCCTGATGAATTAAAAACAGATGATGGAAAATGGATGATAGACATTGATTATTATTTGTCGCAGCAAATTCATCCTGTTGTATCACGTTTATGTGCTTCAATTCAGGGTACAAGCCCTGAACGTTTGGCTGATTGTTTGGGACTAGACTCATCAAGGGTACAAGCCTTTTTTCAAGCCAACCAGATTTGAAATGCCATAAAATTGTCCCCTTGTCTTACATTTGAATAATTGTTTCTTCTAGTTTCAAAGTAAAGCAAATGACGCTGTTGGAAGTGATCCATCTAGTTCACTCCTTTTTGCTGTAGATGATGAAAAAAGGTAAGTCTCTCATTACCTTGATGAATTTATTCGTATCATATTTTTTCTTCCAGGACACAGCATTGTTATTGTCTAAAATGTGATTTTTCTAGTTGTATGAATATTATGAATACCTCTATAAAAACTGTTCAAGAATGTTTTGTTAAAAACTTTTGCTAGAATGTCCAACTGTTTTTACCTATTATGGTTTTATTTTGGATTTCTTTTGAACATCATAATTCCTAGAATATGCACCATTTGTATTTGAATGTTCTTTGAACTTCTTAAACTAGAAAATTTTCATGGCAGCTTTTCTCTAGAACGCCATTTCAACTGATAAAATGAAACACGAAAAGCTTGTTGAAAACTGACTATACTGCTTTGATACATGTGATGATTCAATTGCAGATATCGGGGTTGTGAGCCCCTGGTCTTGTCTTGTCCCAGTTGCTCTGGTACTTTTGACTGCCCAGTCATATTTAGTTCCATCTGTATGATGATTAATGGGAAGCCAACAGGACTAGATGCAGAGGAATCTGCTGGCAATTTCTGGCAAAAGTTATGTTGTCCTAAATGTCCCGAGGAAGGTGATACTGGCAGAATATCTCCTGGAATGTTAGCCAACCAGGTATATTATGTTGTTCCCATCAACTATGTAGAGATCACAGAGATATTCTAGAACTCTAGACCTTGTATAAGGGATGTTAATGCGTGCTCTCTACAATTATCAGAACAAATAATCAATTGGTTAGGTCATTTCAGATAGCTTATGTTGTGCATCATCAACTATCTACTCAATGCACAGTATATGAGCCCATGCCTAAGGAATCAAGTGACATAGACTTAAAAGTTTTATTTTCCTTTTATCAGGTCAAGAAGCAAGCGGATGGATATATCTTAATGTATTACAAGGGTGTATTAATGGTAATCTTCTCGTGGAAATTTACATGCAATCTTGAATGCTGGGTCAGAATTTATTTTATGGGACGATGTTTCTTTTCAGTGTGATGACGAGACATGCAAGTATACAACCCGATGTCTAAATCTGAGACTACTTGGTGACTCTGAAAAGGGAACAGTTTGTCCAAACTATCCTCAGTGTAATGGCCGTCTTGCAAGAAAGGTTTTCATCTACCAACTCCTAAAGAACACAACTCGTTTATATTCTTATCATTTTACTAAAACAATGATCTGATATTTGTGAACCAGTACACTGAAGCAGATCTGTACAAGCAGCTTTCATACTTTTGCCACCTTCTGGATACCGTGCGCTGCCTAGAAAAGGTTTCTTGGCTTTAACTTTCATCTTGTCTTTATTATGAGCTACACCTATGTTGTCAAATGGGTTGGGCCGGTCTGGTCCGCTGGCATACACGTGGTTGTTGTCAGCCTTGGCCGATTAAACCGTGAAGAGGTAAGGGATATGTGTTGGCCGTTTGGGTCTGGCCTACCCAGACTGGATTAAGTCTATTTATCAAATTTTATTTAAAAATTGTGGGATTTATTTACAAATTCACACTTTAGTTCAATAAAAATTTTAAAACTTTATTTAAAAAATACGAATTTACAAATAAAATTCATAAAATTTATGTTAATTGCCAATAAGTTTTCATTTTTTGAATTTGTTCCGAATTGAGTGTAATTTTACAATATTTACAATACATTTAATTTTTATTCTGTGAAACACGTCACGTTCCTATTTCGATCTGGACAAGCTGGGCTAGGCCACAACGTCCCATGGGTACCGGACGGCCTGACCTATCTGACAACTCCTAATCTACTGTTACTGTTGCAAAATTTTATATTTCAAGTTGGTGCTGGTTTCTTACTGGTATCGGAAGTTGCAGATGGAAGCAAGCTCCAGAATACCGCTAGAGAAACAGTTGACAAAAATTAGGCCGATGATTAATTTAGCGGCCACGACAGTTCAAAGGATGCGAGATCAGTGTGCTTATGGATGGGTGCAGCTAAATGATCTTACTGTGACGGTTTGACTCCCAAAAACTTGGGCAGACTGTTGTACTTTGCCTGTAAATCATGTGTACATTAATTTATCAATTATTACAATAGATCAAATCTGAAGCAAGGTAACTTCCATCTTGCACCTCTGCGTGATATGCAGCTGGTTACTTTTTTCATTATGGGTTTGTCGCACCTGATGTTTTTTCTTACCGGATACGAGATTGCATTTAAGTACATAGTGTTTAGTATATTATGATTTTAATTGTAGTTTATTTATTTAGTTGTTTTTATAAGTTATTTATTTGTAATGAAAATGTCATGGAGAATTTAAAATTAAATTTGAACTTTCCCATTAAAATAGTAATTCAAGAGTATGCCTGCTATGGTAATATGACAGTCATAGTAACAGGTAATTTTTTATTTAAAAAATAAAAAGTTTATGTATTTAGCTTAATATTGAAAGCAAAAACATAAGTACTTTTTATAAATAAATAGCATGTATAGGTTTTTTATAAATATTATATAGTATGTCTTATATACATTACTAGTTCGATTCAATAAACTTATTAGATAAAAATAAAATATAAAAAGTTGGAAATAAATCATGCAACTAAATTCGAAAATCTGTATTTATTTAATCAAATGATAATTGAATAAACCAAGGAAAACAACCAAATGATTTATTTAGGAATGCCAATACATCTTAACGACAATCGCACTTATGTATATGCTGTGCTGCTGTAACCACTGAAAGTGCCTCTCCAAATGCGTTTGAACTTCGATCTGAAATTTGTACAGTAATCTTTGCATTTCATCTCAAACACATTGCTACTGCAATTCTCCGACAGGTGCCTCGTTGAGCCATAGAAAATGAATGAAGTCATACAATTTTGCACTTACGCTAACCTGCATGAGAAAACATTCACTTATCTTGTAAAACCGAGAAGGTTTTTTACCAAGGGGCTTTTGCAATACCTTGTAGGGTGTGGGGTTCAGTCGCCTCATGTGATCAGGTCGCATTTGTTCAAGCTGCTTGATACACCGCTGCCTGATGTCCTTCAGAAGTGGTAATTCTTCTCTTGCTTTATCTTCAAAATACAACAATTCAGTTTCAACATCAATTATGGGTCGTAGTAGACGAAAATCTTGCTTTACAAATAAAGAAGAAACAGACTACTGCTTGTCATTTCATTTTTTCAAATCTGAAAATCTGTGTCAGAGAAGACAAGAGCACAGGATTGACAACTGTGTATCTTAAACTTACTTGACATGGAGAATAAGACTTTAAGGTTACCATGAAAATTATGGTGAAAAGGCTACAAAAAAGATACAAATGGATTCTTTGTGTTTCATAGAGATAGATATTAGCACAGTAGCTTGGCAAAGAAAAAGTTGTAAATAACAAAAATATGTTTCTGGGTGGATAGGTGGCGGGCTGGTGGAATGTAATGCAGTATCAGTAGACAGCAAATGTTGAAGCATGCTAAAGGTTAACGCTGTTTGTTCGATGGTAGTAATCCCTGACATTAAAATATAAGCCCATAGCTTTTACCTGACTTCCCTGACCAGTAGCATTTCAGAAGCTCTTCAACACGTTGAGGCACCACATATGCCCTCTTGGATTCATTAAAAGGGTGACGACACAGTATTCGCTCGCCAACCTGCAGTTTAAAAAGTACATGGAAAATAACATATATTTTTAAGACATTTTGTCACCATATTTAGATATCTAAGAAGAAAAAAGGAGGATGTTGTGACAGCATCTGTGAATTTAATACACGTCAGTGTGTAAAATCTTCTCTTTTTAACTATTATTTTCTATGCTTGTTATCCTCTTCTGCAAAAGGTGATGCTAACTCCCTCAGAATCCTACACTGCCTCAAGGGAAGCACAAAGTATTAAATTACTCTTGCACTTGTTATGGTTAGTACACGATAAACCTGGAGTTGATCTTGTTTTACCTTTGGAGGTGGCTCGTTTTCTCCAGTCATAATGTCCACCAGTGGGTAACCCTCTTTGCCATACAGTCTATAACACCGTTTTTTACAGGGTATAGAGACCTGGAATTCCAGAAGAAAAAGTTATAAAATGAACCGAAAATGCTACTCAAATTTTAACAGATCTTGGTGAAACCTTCGAAACATCTTCAGAAAGTTTTATTCGAGGTTGATCGTTTATCTCAACAAGCTTAAAAACACAACCTAGAGCAGCTTGAGAATAGCAAGTGACCAGATAGGTTCCTATCCCAAATGCATCTACTTCATGTCCCTGCAAAAGAAAACAGATCAGAATATTTGGGTCCAGTAAAATGCATACTTGTCTCTTATTCAACTAGAACAAAGTTTCTGATAATAGATTGTGACGAGCCAAATGATTCAGTTTTCATTGACGATAAAGATAGTGCAAGTGCAAGTGATTTTTAATTTGGATAAACTACCTGTTTATTTAGAGCATCTAAAGTTTCTTCATTGAGATCATTACTAGCAGTAATATTTGTATTCCCAAAACCAGAAACGCCAAATTCTTTCTCAATGGTATGAAAGAATATTCGAGCCTCAGAAGACAAATATGCCAAGTCGCCGGAGTCCAATCTGATGCCTACTGCTTTGTATCTGCAGATCACAATTACTGGAATGTAATTAGACGTTGGTAATTGTTTAAATGACACATCATCAAGATATAACGCAGAAACATGGCTTTCAGGTCTCAAATAGTGACCTTGGATGTTAATTGAGGCAAGAGATTGTTACATAGACATTAAAAGATAACTTCTTCAAAGAAACATCAAGAAAACACTATATATTTCTGATTGATAAAGTACACATGGATCTAAAAGAAATATGATACATAATTTTGACTGATAACAGAATAATCCATGCAAATAGAAAGAGATTCTTGTACACCCACATTTAGTAGTTCATGTAACGAGATGTTAAAGACATACCCCAAGTCACTTAGTGCTAGTGCAACTGCACAGAAGTTGGGGACTCCGCTCCTCAAAACCTAGTAAGATGGATGCCAACTGTTAATATTGTATTCTTAATGAAAAAGCATGGCCAGATGAAAGGAACATTGCAAAATTTTTGTATGATTGTCAAGTAATACATAACCCATGAATGTGTTTAAGAACAAACAAAACGTTGGTGGAGGAGAAATCTTAATACGGACCAAACATTTCAACAAGATAATATTGATGAGACGAATCACTCCATGCCCACAGCAAGAAGAAAATGATGAATTTCAGTTAGGAAGCTGAGATATAGTTTCCAGAGAGAAGTGCAGGAGGCATCATCTACCTCAAAAAAAAAATATTAAGTCATTTATATTAACTTACATCATATGTGTCTACAAGAGCAAGAAAGTTGTTAGGGAATGCTAAAGCATAGGAGGTAAAGGCTGCCAGCTCACTTTGATTGGTCTCACCAAAAGTGCCACGTAATGAATGTAACCACTGCAAAAGATGCATCCGTTAAACAAACTAAAAATCTAGCAGATAGAGAAAGAAGAATTACTTCTGACTTCCAAGAAGAAGTCATCTTTTTTTTTTCTGTCAAAGTAATTTCTGAT